AAACGAGCACACATGAGGAGCAGAAGGAGGTCACGCACTCTGCAATGGCCTTGTTGGCCGCTCTGGCAGATTCAAAGACGGCGGCGGCAGCGGCCGAGGTGGAAACGGCCTCGGGCGCCTCGTCGTCCGAGTCTTCGGAGGCGTCCGAGTCGTTGATCGTGTCCTTTCGGCTGGGCTCAGGCCCAGGCGCAGGCTGTTCGGCGCCGGGGATGATGGTCTCGTCGGCCCCGGTTCCGGCGTCACCTTGGTCGTTGTCCTCGGCGGCGCTTCCGCTGAGACCATGCTCATCTTCGTCTGTCTTGGCGCGGATCTCAACTACCAGCGATGATGGGTTGGCTGGGGCTGGGGCTGGGGACTCGCTCGCATCCTGGGTCTCGTCCTCGTCCTCTGCGTCGGCCTCTGGCTCGCCCTTGGCCGCTTGCTTCCTGGACTTGGCGCGCACGGGGAGCTTGCGCTGGCGCTTGGGAGTGCCGGCGGCCGGGCTGTTCTGCGTGGAGGATGGGGCAGCGGCGTCGAGGTCCACGTCCAGAGCTTCGCCAGACTTGCGCTTCCTCATGTTGCGTGTGGTGACCATTTTGGCGTCTGTGTGATGATTACAGGAGGCAGATGGGTTTCCTGGTGGTGGGGCGTCCCGACAGTGGGTGCTGAGACAAGATTCTCACTGTCGGTAGACTGAGAGAGGATCCTCAAGGTGACTGCGTGGCGAGGAACGTATGGGACGGAGGATCAGGGCTGCGGGAAAATATTTTTAAGGTATACTCTTCCGCTGTCCTTCCTGTCTACGGCCGTCGAGTTGACGATATATCAAACGTGGAATTGGTATGTGAAAATACTCCAGAAGGAGGTGAGGTCGTCGTGGTTGATGGCTAGAAATTTGAGTGTCAAGTGAGATTTTTGGGGGTGGGGTCGAGGGGTGGATCCGAAGCGTCTGATTGGCTTGGAGGCGACCCCTGGTCCTGCCGTTCCAACGTCGTCTCTTGATTGCGCTTGCCCAGGACCCCATCTCCTCCTCACCTGCCTACTAGGTACCTACTTACCTTACCTGCTACCTCACCTGACCTGATGCTAGAGGTAGGCACATAGATTGATCGGATTGCTTCATTCTATCTGCCTGCTGTATTCCATCTGTACACCGCCAATTCCATCTCCACCATACACCCCCCCTGGAATGGACAGGTAGCCCAATGCTCTGCCGCCATCTCTCTTCACGGCGAGTACCATGGCGCGCTACTCAGGTGCTGTGCTCTGGCCGCTGCTCGCCATCACCATCAGCAGCGCGAACGCCTAAGACCATTATCTGCTCCTACTCCAGTGATCGCAGTAGAATGCGTCAAAGGGCCGCGCCGAAGCCTGCCCCATCGCCATCGCCGAGGAGGAGACCTGAGACGATGGCAGAATCTCGCCCACTTGGAGTACGCCCTCGATCGCCAGACGACTTCAAGCTCACGACGCCACACCGAGAAGGCTTCACCCTCGACCACAGAATAGTGCACCGCATCTACAGCGGGTTTCTAAATGCGGCGTCCGGGCTTCATCAAGGGCAGAAACACTGGCTTTCCGAGTTTGCCAAGGGTATGCCTTCCCCTCTTTACTCCTTCACCTCTCGCATACCTCAAAATTGTTCCCCCCTCTCACACACCAATATTGACCCATTACGGCAGAGAACGATATAAAACCCCAGGACTTTTATGAAGTGGCACTCCGCATGGCGGATCTTGGTCCCCTGTCACAGGTTGAGCACGAGTCCCAGTCTCGCATGCTCGACTCGGCCAGCGAGCTCGGCCACGTCCCCGCCACCCTGCACATCATCCGCACCGTGCTCTATGGAAGGAGCCCGGAGAACCTGCAGCGCTCTTGTCCCCGCGCCTACGCCCGCTTCCGGACTCTCGTCGCTGAGGGGAGGAACCCCGACGCCTTGACCCTTGAGGGCAAACTCTACGCGCTGCGCGGTGAGAGGGACCAAGCTGCCGCGCTGTTCCGCCGCGCCAAGGACGTCGCTACAGCCGCAGTTGCCCACGGCAGCACCGGATTTCAGTGGAAGAATCTGTGCCAGGTCGAGCTTGCCAAGCTGCAGGAGGCTGTCGGTGCCAGGCAGGATGCCTACTGGGAGTACCGCGCGCTGGCCGACGCCGGTGACGCTGAGGCGTGCTATTATCTAGGGACGCTCGACGCGCGCATGCCGGGGACGGTTCGGCTGGTGCACGAAGCCGAGGCGAGGGAGCTCTTGACACAGGCCGCCATGGCAGGATACCCGGCGGCGCCGACGGCCCTGGCGGATCTGGAGACGGGCATGTACGACCAGGCCGTGGCAGACGGACATAAAGACGCCGCGGCGGGGCATTTGCTCGATGCGCAGGAGTGGCGCAATCTGGCGGCGGCGTGGAAGATGCGGGATCCGAAGAACTACGAGGTGTACTAGTACGATGGATGTACTATATTGTGTTGCTTTGTGGAAGAGCGAGCAAGGAGGATGGGGCGTGCAAGCTTCCGCGTGTGCCTGTTGTACGACCCATTGTAAGTCCTGTTGAATGGGGCGTTCCCAGGGAACCGGTTCTGTGTCCTATAATCAGGCGCAGACAAGCTTTGATGCTTGGGCAGGTCACTGTCAGGTAAGGTAGGTAATCTAGCGGCGTGGGTCTGGATGTTGCATTGTACAAAACCGTCTACCTCGGCTGGGCCACAATCAAAAAGAGGCTTGCACCGCCTGACAAATCCTCGTCCACCCTAGCCTCGCAGCCGTCACTCCATCAGAACCGAGCCCGCTCGTACCCCGCCCCCGGCGTGACGTGTATGACCTTTACATTCTCCGTCAAGGTGCCGGCCTCAATCTCCCCAACCATGGCCTTGACGTGCGCGCCGGCGAGATGCGTCTGCAGGGCGGCGGCATTCTCATATCTGTAGCCGCAGCCTTAAAAGACGTCGTTAGGTCTAGGAACTTGACTCGAGGAGGTGGGCGGAGAAGGAGTCACGCAATTACGCCAGGGAGAAAGGGTAAAAAAAGAGAGGGCGAGGAAAAAGGAGAGGGTTAACCCACGTTTCGCAAACGACGAGCTCCTCGGCGCCGCTCGTCTCGTCTCGCTTGCCACGGTGGATTCGGTACCGAAGCGTGCCGGGCTCGCTCTTCTCGGCGTGGGCGGCGCACGCGGCGAAGAGGCTGAGGAACTAAAGGGGGGGGGGAACACTCGGGTGTGAGCGAGTGCGGCTTGGCAGAGGGTCGAGGACAGAAGGAGAAGGGGACAGAACAGGACAAGGCAGGGTGGAAGGGGGGGCAAAAATCACGGGGACGAGCTGGTTTCGTACACGTTCGGTCTGGCCCTTTTTGGGGGTGATGATGGCTACGAGGTCGATTTGGTCGGTACCCATGGCGCGGGGCCTGGAGGTCTTTTGTTGCGGTGGTGGTGGTGGCGACGGGGCTAAGCGGTTAGCAGAGATGGCCGCATGCAGGAGAGATGATGGAGATTTGGGGGTTGTCTAGAGTTGCGACTGCTACGCGGAGACGGCGGGGGGATCGGACTTGGAAAGATAGAAAGGAGAGCTATATGTACACTCTCGGGGTCGGGCGGGCGACCGGTGGGCGTGGCATCCCGTTGAACCCGAAATTGATCTCAGGTACAACAAGCGCCCCATAAGCCGTATACCGCCTTCATGATCAGGTTTAGCGCCGCTACCTTTGCCACCTTACGCAATACCTCTGAGATGGGTTTTACCGAGCCCTATCTAAACCGGATATATCCTAGAGCCTCGCTACTTTTAGCCTAAGCCGAGACTAAGCGGGCCCTGAGCTCGGTAGTAGCTTAGCTAGTATAACCTAGCTATAGATATATAAAAGTTCACTATAAAGCCTCTAGTATACTATAATAAATAATAACGAAAATAGTAGGGTACCGCTTTTAGTACTAACTTCCTAGGAAGTCGGATATAGCTAACTAACCCTAATAGCGAGTATATATATAATAATTATTATCTATACCCTTTATAATAGATAGCTCCGAGCTAGACTATATTACGTAGCTTCGATAATACTACGAGGCAAGGCTTCTAATACGCTATTTACCCTTTATATAATCTAATTAAGAGTAAATATTTAAACTCGAATATAAGGACTTATATTACTATCTATTATATATCTTACTTAGCTAAGAGCTAGAGGTAAGGTTTTAAATCAATAGCTACTTATAACCTTAATTAAGATTATTAATATAAATTATAGTCGACGTAGGAGGTATTAGGCAACGACCGAGGGTATAGCTTAGTTATAGAATAAAGAGATAATAATAGATAAGAGGAAGGGAGAGATAAAAGTAGCTATATCTCTGGAAGGAGACGTCGGGTCGAGAAAAGGATCGAAGATTCTTATAGCCCTTAACGAGAGCTATAAAATAGTGTATTTTTCGTTTAGATTAAAGGTAGGTAGGTCGAGGAGTAATTAGAAGAAGGTTATAATTGACTTTGAGAAGTGGTTGAATTGATCCTAATGAGAGTAAGGCGTGTCTTGGAAGGTATCCGTTCCTAATAGTTTAGAACGTGTAAATTGGATAGGAATTACTATATAAGGGGGACTTACGAGTATTATTAGAATTAGATAATTATTAAGATCTAAAAACCTGAAAAATAGGTCCGGGGGGTGCCCTCTATATATAATAGACTAACCCTTAGTAGCTATGCGTGGATAAGGCGCTTAGACTACCTCTAGACCTATAGGGAAGTGGAGTCGGATTTAAACTCTAGCTAATAGGGTATAAGAGAGCTTAAACGCTTATTACTATAGAACGGCTCTATAGAATATTATAAAATTTATACCGTTCTATAGCTACGATTTTTCTCTATTTTATAATATATATATTATTATAGTTTAGCTTTTATTTAAGCTAGTAGAATAGTTATAAGACTCTAACCCTTATAATTCCTATAATATTTAATTAAATCGATTAACTAAGAATCGAAACTCTATAATATATTTAATAATAGCTTAATCTATTTAAGCTAAAGGATTTTTCTTTTATTTTATTATTCCTCGTCTATATCCTTAAACGCTCTTTTAATAGCTTCTTCGAATATATTTATATTAATATAGATATTTTAAATAGCTTATTTTATATCTTCTTTCTTAATATAAATAGAATAATCCTTAATAAAGGGTTCAAATTTATATAAAGCGTCCCCTTTAAAGTAAAAGGAGGGATTAGCGACCTTCTTATTTTAATATTTAAGTTAGTTTTTATTAGCTTTATAATATTAATATACTTAGATAATAAAAGATTAAAATACTTTATAATTATTATTAAATAATTAAAGGGGAAGAGCTTTTATATTTATTTTACTTTAAAATTATTATATTAAAGCTTAGAGCTATTTATTCTCTAAATAGAGCTCTTAGATTATAATAGCTAAATTATTAATATTATTTCTATTATAGGTATAGTAGATAGGTAACTAGGTAGATCCTATTATATAACTATAAGTCGGTGATTACGGGACTATAATTACCGACGGGGATCACTTTCCTATAATTATTACTAGATAATTATAGTATAGTGATTACGGAACTATAATAACTAGCTTTTATAAATCCTA